TAGGCAATCTGAGGTTGATCATTCCCTCTTTGCTCATCCTTGAACCAGGTCCTTCATGGTTATTTTTATCTATTGACGATATTTTGTTAGCCGGAAATGACTTGGAGGCCATTGCTGCACTTAAGGACTATCTTGCTCTTCAATTTTGAAGTAAGGACCTTGGTGTGGTAAAATATTTCTTGGGTAATGTGGTTGCTTGATCTTGTATTGGGATTTTTATTAATCAAAGAAAGTATGTTCTCAACATTTTGGCTGACACGGGTAACCTTGGCACTCATCCAGCTCCTTTTCCTATGGAGCAAAATTTAAAGCTCATGAGTGAGAATGGTCAGCTCTTTCCAGATCCCAGTATTTATCGATCTTTAATTGGTCTTCTCATTTATTTAACTATCACTTGTCCAAACATCAGTCATAGCATCAATTTATTGAGCTAATTCATGCATTCTCCACGAGAACCTCATTACCGGGTTGCTTTATGTGTTTTTCAATATCTAAAGGTTGCCCATGGTTTGTTCTATCCCTCTACTTGTGACTTTTAGATTTTTGTCTTTTCGGATTTTGATTGGGCCAGTTGTCCTATGACACGATGCTCGACCACGGGTTTTCTTATCATGCTCGGCACTAGCCCCATCTCTTGGCGGTCCAAAAAGCATATTATTTCTTGTTCATCCGTTGAGGCTAAATATCGGGCTCTTGCCACCACTACATGTGAATTGATTTGGCTTGATATGCTTCTTCATGACATGGGTATTTCTCGTACTACCCTTATGCAGCTCGTTTGTGACAATCAAGCTGCTCTCAACATTACCTGCAACACATAGAAATTAATTGTCATCTAGTTCGTGAGAAATACAAATAAAGTTTAGTTCAAATCAATTATATTCATACTTCATCCCAACATGCAGATGTGTTCACTAAACCCCTCGGACATGATATTTTCCTCCGTTTTTCTCGCAAGTTGGGTATTGTAGATCTTCGTACTCTAACTTGAGGAGGAGTATAGAAGTTTGCAATATACACAAGATTTTCTTCGCTGATATTACTGCCACATTTGCATTATAAAGAAGATTTTCCTAAGCTGAACTTGCTATCATACATAAAAAAACATTACCATCTATAGAATATTTGTATTACCTTTTATAACATATTAAGTTTTTCTATATAATTCCATTGTATTGTATGTTGATAAAATATTATAGAATAATGAGAATATCATCTTAACACATTCTTCGCATCAGCTCTATCCACATGTACCCAATTTTGGGCAATTGTGCGTGCGTTTACAAATTTAAAATTGAAACTTAAAAGAATATTAAGCCCTTGTTTGATCCCCATTTTATCCAAAATAATTTTTCTCTCTCTATTCTTTTATACCACATAATATTCAATAAATAATATTATACGCAAACTCAAATTTCTTTGTTATTTTTTAACCACATATTCTTTATCAATCTATTATTTCAAAATGGACTCTAAACCAAAAATGGGACTTAAACATGCCTTAAATCAAATTAAACAACTTACTTGGAATGAAAGGAAGCTGTAAAAAAGTCAAAAAAGAACAAATGAAGAATTCAAACTGATGCAAGTATTCAAATCTTTGTTTTTAAGATGAATTTTCCTGTCAGTGGTGTTAACGGAGTCTTGACAATCGTCCCCCAATATACAACACTACCTTCTTGTAGTAGAATCACTTCAAAGTCCAAGGAAACGACGAACTCTGAAACATATTTTTTTCGCTATTATTTGAAAGATTTTAATGCAAGAAAACCAGTCTTTTATGAAGTAATTGATGCAAAGTAATTGTACAATATGTTATGGGATGAATCCAGACCATTCAGAGGTTCCAATTAATAGAAAATGAGGAGTTGTGGCCAGAGAAATATGCCCCAAAACTCAGTAGATTTCTTGAAGGGATGCAGTCCTTCAAGCCATTTGCTTGCCGTCCGATTTGATACTCAAAGTAGGGTCTCGCCGCTCGTTGCGCTTTAGGCAACTGTTCGATCGGCAATCTTATATGCTGAAAAGCCCTTTTTCTTTCTATCTTTGGACTATAATTTCTCATTCATCCAAATTAATTTTGAGATTTCAAATATACTACGAATATCTACTTGATGAGTAGAATAAGTTAGACTATTTAGTTGCATGATTTGACTATCAAAACCTATCTGAATATTTGATTAAAATTGATACAAAATCAACTTTATTAAATTTTACTTGACCAATTTTAAACCAAATTCCAACACCCAATAAATGAAATCTCGGGTAGCTGACTTGAATGCACATCACCGAACTAGTATTTCTACTGTTCACAAGCCGTGGGCGGAGCCGAACTGAGCTGAGCCAAACGGCTTTATGGCTCGGCTTGGCTAATTTTTTTTTCTTTGATGAATTTTGTTTACAGTTGAGCCAAATGGCTTTATGGCTCGGTTAACTCTTTTTTTTTTTTTTTTT